TGGTTTTGATAGAGATAGAACTATACAATGGTATATGCTGTAAGATAGAACTCCATCTTTTTTACTTTTGTCTCCCAGCTCATTTTTACTAAACGTTTCTATTAGGCCCTCTATTTCTGAGTAGGTGGTGAGATTCTTTTATTCCATGTGAATAAGCCCATTGCTTTTTTGCCTTTGCTATGTAACGAGTTCCTTAATGAGAAACAAAACTATGTGGAATATCATGATAATGAATAAAGCATTTCAGGACATGGTAGTGCTAGCAGAAGTATTATGGACAGGGAAAACACATCCATATCAAAACTGCATTCATTCCAAAGAGCAGTCTCTGCCCTCTGTGTGATGGAAGGTATCCAGTGCACTCCACCTGCTCCTAGATGTCTGGCCAGTTCCAGTGGATAACATATCAGGGCAAGTCAGTGCTGGGTCTACTTGATAAATAGCTGCATTATTGGGTGTGTAGTTCAGTACCAGCATTATCAGATGTGTGGTAGCATACCAAGTGCTAGAGGCTGTATTGATTATCTCCAATGAAGGTACTATATCCAGAATAGCAGCTACCAGCAGAGAGAATACCTGGTTGAGTTTTCAATAATCCAGTCATTCTCCAGGATTCATCCAACTTTAACACATACAGCTACATTAAATGGTGATGTGATATTAGGTGTTACTGCCGGTAGTCAGTAGTCAGGTTCCAGTACTCACCTGCCCAGTATACAACACAGGCCTGAGAAAAAAATACACTAAGAGACAGAACTAAGAGAGAGAAAGCAGGGTGCCAGGATGACAAATGCTGGTGCAACCGCCCAAGGTGCTGGCCAGTCTCAGGCACTAACTTCTATTGGCAATCAGTTGGGGTAAAGGTGACATGTAGTTTCTATGGAAATTAATGTAAGCAAGGCTCATAAAGGACAAGACAAAGCATTCTCAAATTAGGAACAGAATAGACAAAATATATGATTGTAATTAGAACATTGTCCTTCAAGTCTGAAGGCTTTAGTTGTGGGAATGGAATTAGGGTGCATTACTCTGACCTCGGCACGTAGGCTTCAGCCAGACTAACTTCTATAAACAAACCAGTTGTGGGGTTAACTCTTTACAGCCTGCCTTGTGCATAATCAATATTACAGTCCTCTGCATGTTACCATCTATTTATCTTTCTGGTGGTGGCACTAACGTTTGCAATTTTTTCGTAATTATAGAAAGAGGAACTTCCACTTAATATTCCCTACCACAATGTTTCTTACCTCCGGGTCAGAATCAGTATAGATATTTTACTTATAGCCTAGCGTACCTATTCAAAGTTTATATTCTGGAAGTGAGAAAGTTTTCATAGAATGAGTCTATGGACCACTGGGTCCGCTTGTGAGTCAAACCTGGGCTAATAGTGTAGCTATCACCTGAACACCATAAATCTGCAGTTTGACTGCAGGACTGCAGTGGTGTTTGGAGTCTCCAGAAATTTGTTTCAATTCAGAGATACAGTGAGCATAATTCTAATGTGGCCTCCAAGATCCCTTCCCTCTAAGGTAATGTATTTTCTTACAGTTACAGTATTTAAGTCAAGCACTAGCCTAAGTCCTGCTGTGAGGAACTTGGCAAAGGTAATTATGGTCCTCAATTAGTTACCTTGAAGAAAAGGAAATTCACCCAGATGAACCCTCTCTAATCAGGTGAGCTCTTTTAAAGGGACTGAGCTATTTGCTAGAGAAAGAGATTCAAAGCAGAGAGGAACTTGCCACTTAGGAATTTCCCCATTGCTGACTCAAGATGAAGAGGGTAAGAGTGATCTATAGAAGCTAAAAACAGACCCCAAATGATATTCAGCAAGGAAATGGGCACTTGGTCTTATAGCTGCAAAAAACTGAATTCTGCCACAGTCACATGAGTGTAAAAGAGGAACCCAACCTCCAGATGGGAAAGAACTCCAGGTAACATCTTGGCTTTAGCTTTGTGAAAGCCTGATGGATAATCCAGCTGTCATACTTGAACTTCTTGTCTACAAACTATGAGCCAATAATGAGGTTTAAGTTACTGTTTGTGGTAATTTGTTATGCACAGGATAAAACTAATACAAAAGCCACTGTCTAGTAAGTCTGGCAGTTTCCCCAAATGCACAATCACCCTAGTAATGGCCACTAGGTTCTCAGAGGAAGGATTAGAGGGCAATTTACAATATAGTGTTGTGGAAGTGCTACAAACACTAATAGAGAATAACTGTTACCCCTTCAATCACTGTGGCCTCTGAGTGTGTGTTTGAGCTTAGGTCTGGAAACTAAGTAGGAAGTTGTAACTCCTACTAAAATCAAGTGTTTGGCCACCAGACCTGGAATTTTTTTCAGTTACAGAAATCAAGCAGTATTCTAATAGGTTGCCCATTTATTTCATTCCTAAGAGTAACCACAATCAGTTTACCTTAGCTAAAATCTTAGGGGGCTAAAACATTTGATTACTGATTCACTCTGTTGCCTTTTATGATAAAAGACCCACCTTATATTGGTGGTTCAGTATATCATCTGCCCTTTCTGATCCAGGATCCTTTTTATTTGCACTGAAATTAGGGAACCCATCTCAATAGATACTTCTTCCATGACCATTCCTGGCTTGAAATGGAGAACAAACATAGAGCTTTTCAAAGATGCCTGTTCTCGCCTCACTAATCCATTTTCTGTATGTCTTAGTGAAGGAATTTTCTGGGCCTCCTAGAGCGGAGATTGTTGGTGTTGGAAATGAACGGAGAGAATGTAAGATTGGTTTCTAGAAGCTAAGTAGATCCCAGATGGATAGAGGCATGTGGATGAAATTAATTTAGAAAGAGGAATGAAAACCTGATTTTGGTTTTGAATACAATTTGAAATCACAGGATACAGGAAAAAATAAATAATTAAAAATAAAAATGAAAGTCATATAAATGATTAAGGATAGAGATGAATCTTGGAAGCATCCTATAAGGATGACTTCTCTAAGAGAAAGAAACCAGTGAATCATGAAGCAATGTCAGAAGAGACAAAAATATTTAAGATTAGGGGAAGAAGATAGTATAAAAATATGCAAAGCAAGGAAGGGGAGAACTTTAAGAAAAAAATGAGTCATAAATAATGCTTTATTATTATTGTGTAATTATTTTTATTATTTACTAAGGGTTATGTCCCTTGGCATTTTAAAAAGCCAAGATTTCACATTAGATTAAAATTTATTTTGGTCTTTACATTTCTCTACTGAGGTTGCCACCCAGGTGTATTACATAAAAGCACCTTCTCCAGCAATCTGGGACCAGCATCCATACAGTAAGCCCCATGGTCAGCCTTTTATTGCCCACATTAGCATTTTTTTGTATTTCGTTTAATCTTTTCAACCATGTGATAAGGGAGTTAGTATTGTCTCCATTTCAGCTATGAAGAATTTTTTAAAATACTCAACTAAATCATACTAGTTAATGAGGGATATGAACCTAAATTTGCCTAGTTCAAGTATACTAAGTTATAGACTCAAAAGAAAAGTTATTATTTTTAAATATAGTTTACCTTCCATATGAATGAGTCCTGCATCTGTGAATTCAATCAATTGCAGATTTAAAATATTTGAGAGAGCTGGGAGTGTACCTCAGTGATAGGGTACTTCCTTAGCATGTGTGAGCCTCTGGGTTCCATCCCCAGCACCGCACACATGGAAAAATGCATCTGTACTGAACAAGTACAGACTTCTCTTGTTGGTGTTCCTTAAACAATATAGCAACTATTTACATTGTATTAGGTATTATATGTAATCTAGAGGTATTTCAAATATATGGAAGGATGTGTATAGGTTATATGCAAATATAAGGGACTTGAACACCTGCATGTTTTGGGTCCTGGAACCACTCCCTTTTAACTACTAAAGGATAGCTATATTCAGGTATGTAGAACAGAAAGATAGATAGATAGAACGAACATATATGTATATAATCTTCAGATACACCTAATTTAACACATAGTTTGTGAGTTTTAGTCTCCTAGAACACCTATCTTGGAAGAATAATGAGGTGGTGTAGTGGGAAATACAACAGATTAAAAACCTAAAGGCCGAATTTTAATCCTGTTTCTGCACTAAACTTTATAACCAGAATCATAAACATTTCTTGGTAGCTTTTTAAAAGTGAAATTTTTACATATCATAAGATTCACTCTTTTAAAGTATATAATTTAGTGGTTTGAAACATATTCATAAGGTTTTACAACCATCTTCACTTTCTAATTCCAAAATATTTTCTTAATTCCCCCCAAATACCCTGTACCCATTAGCAGTCACTCTCCATTCCACTCCTCTTAGCCACTGAAAACCTCTTAATTTACTTTATATCTCTATGAATTACCCTATTATGGATATTTTGTATAAGTGGAATCATAGAATACAGGGTATGTCTGGCTTATTTTCCTTCACACATTGTTAAGATTCATTCATGTTGTAGCATTAATTACTATGTCTGCTTTTGCAAGGCTCATATCTTATGTGTGCACGCACATACTACATTTTGTTTATCCATTCATCAGTTGGTGGACACTTCAGTTACTTCCACCTTTTGGATATTGTGAATAAATGCTTTATATGTGTTTAAGATTTTGTGTGAATATGATTTCAGTTCTCTTAGATATATACCTAGAAGTAGATTTGCTGAATCATGATAACTGTTTAACCTTTTGAGAACTGCCAAACTTTTCCAAATTTCAGAGTGACTGTACTATTTTACATTTTCACTCTTAGTAACTCTTTACATTTTATTTCTTGATCTATAAAAAGAAAGGTACAATAACAGTTTTGTAGGGAGGTGAGATAGACGGAAATTGAGATGTTAATTAGAATATTTTTCCTATCTAGTTCTAAATACTACATGTAATATTTTGTTCCTAGAAAACCTCGGGAAATAAATTAGGTTAATTAGTAAAAACTCAAAGGTCAATGAGAGTTTCTTCCAGCATTTTTAATCTTACTGACTCAACAGTCATGGTTTTTTTTTCTTATAGAGAAGCTTGCAGAGGCTCAGCGCAGGTTTGCTACACTTCAGAATGAGCTTCAGTCATCACTGGATGCACAGAAAGAAAGCACTGGTGTTACTACACTGCGACAACGCAGAAAGCCAGTCTTCCACTTGTCCCACGAGGAACGTGTCCAACATAGGAATATTAAAGACCTTAAACTGGCCTTCAGCGAGTTCTACCTCAGTCTAATTCTGCTGCAGAACTACCAGGTACTTAGATTCTTACCCTGGAGAATGGCATTTTTAAGTAAATGAGAAATTCCAATAAATAGAATTACCTTGAGGTACCCTAATTAGTTGATCCAAAAAGGAAAGTCATTAACTATCCTTATTCTTGACGTTTTTGATGTCCTTATTGAGTAAAAACCATGTATTGGAAGTAGTAAAACAGTGTTAACAAAATTTTATTTTTGAAGATAAGTTTTCTAAAACCTTTTGACTTTAAGACTAACAGTTTGCTTCCTGTTTTTAAAGGCAGCTCTGGGAGTGGTAAGTAAAAAAAATAGTATGTGCTACCCTATTGTTGGATATAGAAGAGCTTTTATATTCTTCCTAACCACTAGCAAAATTTCCACAAAAGCAGTTGAACACTTAATGTTTCTGCTACAGACATTAATAAAACAAAAGAACAGCAATTGGACAATTTAACATTTCTGCAGCTAATACTAGTAAAATAAAAGATCTTTACTTTTCAGCTTGCAACTAAAAGAATCCTTTGAATTTAATTGTCCCCAGACTGCAATATAGCCATATAAAAAAAATTCTGAAGAAAGAAATTAGGTCACACCAGACGTGTGTTGAGACTGAAAATCTAGATTATTATATCACTGAATATTTTAAAAACTTGATGTGAAAAAATTGAACTTCCATGTATACTGAATTATGGAAAGATGGAGCATTCATTCATTTGTAATTCTTTATAAGTATGTTTATATAATTAAATGCTATAAAATTTAATTGAAAAACAAATATTTAGCCAGGTGTAGTAATGCATAGCTGTAATCTCAGCACTCTGCAGTGCTGAGGCAGGTGGATCACAAGTTTCAGCCCAGCCTGGGTCATGTAGCAAGACCCAGTCACAAAGTGAATATTTAACAGATTGAATATTCAAAATATTTAATATAGTGAATGTTTAAATAGGCATTTCTGCTCTTTAAAGAAATCTGGTTACTGTTTGCTTTCTATTTTATCCTTGTGATTTTTATTTCTGTGTGGTTAGGACCCCCAAAAATCATGCAACACAAGTATTACCCAGGGCTGTGTTAGAATTTTTTTTTAAAAAAGTAATTGAAGTCCTGTATCTGTATCAATCTAAGTTGTTAATGTATGAACTTATTTCCCTTTCATAAGTCTACTTTCTTTAGTGATTTAATATTTTATCAAAGAACCCAGGCGGAAAACAATTTAGTAGAAAAGGAATGATGTAAGATATATATATAATGATAAACTCCTTTTCTTTTAAATTTTATTCATGGCTTTGTTTTCCCCCTTTGGTGCTGAGGATTGAACCCAGAGCCTTTGCGTTGAGCTACATTTATTTTTTATTTTGAGACAAGGTCTTCTATTTGCAATCCTGCCTAAGCCTCCCACCTTGCTGGGATTACAGATATGCACTGTTGTGCTGGGCTTATCCATAACTTTATAATTTAATTTTTATTTTTAAATTCATACTTTATAATTTAATTTTGAAAAACAGTCCATTTCTTTAATGCTATAAAAACATTTACATTTTATAGTTTGCTAATTATACTTTTATGTTACAGGGAAATACCCTTGTTACATTCTATAAACTTTTAGCAACTTTTGTTTTGGGTTATTGTAAAAAGCTCTAAAAAGCTCCTTGGGAAGCAGAAATAATTGTTAATTATAAAATTTCTGCTCTATTCACTATTCTTTAGGGACCTTTATAAGAATACATACGTTTTGTTATTTTGTCAAGGATAAATTTTGTCTATGGCATTTCCAACATTAGCCTAGTAAATTTCACATAAATGAGAAAAAAAGGAATACATTTATTTTAAGAATGAAGAAAAATGAAAACTGAAAGAAATATAGTCATGATATATACACCCAAAGGAGAGTTTAAGATCATACATTAAAGTGTGAGGAAAAATTTGTAAACAAATAAGCAAAGCTTATTTCAGAGTGAGTGCTCAATGTTTTACTAATGGAGTTATATGATGAACAAAGCTATATGATGACCTTTGACTTACAGATCTAGCCTTACAAAGCGACAATTTTCTGCTTTTTCAAATAATAGGCAAACAACAACGGAACTTGAGAGTGTAGACAGTGCAGTATTTTAATATTGAAGCATGTGAGGAAAAGAGGGAACTCCTACCCATTATTAATCGAATCCAGTATGCATGATTACTTTTCTTTACTGACTCTTCCTTACACTCCTGTCCCGAAACTGAGATGAAAGAAAAAATTTTTTTAAAAAGTTAAAAAAACTAGATAATTTTTCATTGTGGTTGTTTATAAGCTTGCCTGGTAGAAAGGAAAAGGCACCAGTCCTTCAACAAGCAAAAAACTAAATAATTGTATTCAGTAAATGATAATATCAAAACATTTTCTGAAAATATTCTTTTGGCCAAAGCAGCCAAATAATACAAAAACTGTTTTGAGGACAGTTATACATAGAAAAATGAAAATAAAAATGTTTTGCCTTAGGACTTCACATTTATTGGGAGAGAAATAATAGAACTTGTAGTTCAGGGTCTCTGTGTTGCTAATACTATATTACCTAGAAAAGAATAAATGAAATAAGACAGAAGAGTCTTGTCCTCTTAGTATGAATGCTTTTATGAAAACATTGCCGTCTCCCTAGGTACTAGTCTTTGTCCAGTAAGCTCTGTCAATATGTAGTGCTCATTATTTCTCATTTTCTTTGATGATGGTAAAAATTATAGTTGAATTTCTCATTTCTTTCCATAGAATCTGAATTTTACAGGGTTTCGAAAAATCCTTAAAAAGCATGACAAGATCCTGGAAACATCTCGTGGAGCAGATTGGCGAGTTGCTCATGTAGAAGTGGCCCCATTTTATACATGCAAGAAAATCAACCAACTCATCTCTGAAACTGAGGTACAGTAACCCTACTCATTTATCACATAGTTTTAATAACATTCATGTCTTATTTTAAAGAAATAATTCTACATTTCCATTCTATTTTTGTAAATAGTTGCTAGCTTTGAATACATCTACTCTTATTCATGATTTTTTCTTTTGCTGTATTTACCAAGAGGTTATCAGAATATAACATATAATATATATTATATATAATACATATAACATTACATATACATATATATAATGATACAGAATTATTTATATCTCATGTTTATAGAGTAATTTGTCAGAATTTGATAACTTGTCTTTCTAGGCTGTAGTAACCAATGAACTTGAAGATGGTGACAGACAGAAGGCTATGAAGCGTTTACGTGTCCCCCCTTTAGGAGCTGCTCAGGTTAGTATTTCTTTCCACTTGTTTGTTTGCTTATTTAATCAACATAGTCTGGTTGTTTGCCGGCTATGCTACCTTAAAAAAGTTTCAGCCAAAGTTTATAAGTAGTTGCTATTATTGTTATTCTAGTTTTTGAAAAAATAGATGCAAGAAAAATTAGAAATCATACACTTTTCTGTGTGGCATGGTGGCACACACTTGTAATCCCAGCATTTGGGAGGCTGAGGCAGGAGAATTGCTACAGGTTCAAGGCCACTGTGGGCTACATAGTTCAAGGACAGCTTGAACTACATAGCAAGTCTCTGTCCTGAAACAAAACAAAACAAAAAATCACAAATAGTGTTGTTTATAATACTTTCAGATTATGAAATGTTTAGGAATAATTCTGACAAAAGTTGTGAAAGACCTTTACATTGAAAACTGTAAGCCAACTTTAAAATTTACATGGAAATGCAAGGGACCTAGACTAGCCAACACAGCTTGGAAACAACTAAATTTAAAAATTAACATTATCCAATAGCAGAACTTATTATTAAAGCTACAGTAATCATGACAGTGTAGTATCAGTATAATAATAGGCAGATATTTCAGTGGAACAAAATAAATTAAAAGCAATTAATTTGTATATGGGCAACTAATTTTCAATACAGATACAAAGCAGGTCAATAGAAAAGAATAGTGCATTCAACAAATGGTGATGGAACAATTGGAGTCCATGTGCTAAAATAACTGAAATATTATTTTTATTTCATACCATGTTTTTCTGAATGCACCACTGACCTAAATGAAACCTGAAATTCCAGATTTCTAGAAGAAAGTCCTAGTGACTTTGGAGTACTCAAGATTTGTTAGTAAAGATACCAGAGGCAGTACATCAAAATTTAAAGTTTCTACTCTTCAAAAACACTTAAAGAATGAAAAGCAAAGCATCAGACTAGAAAAAAATGTTTATAAAAGTTATCTAACAAAGGATTTGTATTCAGACTAAAGAACTCCAGTACTTACTAATGAGAAAACCTTTTTTTTTTTTTTTTGGTGCGGAGGATCGAACTTGGGACCTTGTGCTGCGAGGCAGGTGGTGGCACCACTGAGCTAAATCCTTGGCCCAAGAAAACCACTTTTAAAAGGGGCACAGTACACTGTGGCACAGACCTTAGTCCCAGCTACTCAGAAGGCTGAAGTGTTGCAACTTTGAGCCCAGCAACTTAGCAAGACCCTGTCTCCAAATTAAAAAGGGCTGGGGATGTAGCTCAGTGGTAGAATGTCCTTGGTTCAGTCACCAGTACTGAAAGAAATAAACAAAAATGGGCAAGACCTGAAAGGATATGTTATCAAACAAGCACAGGTGCAAAATTAATATGTGGAACAATGCTCAATATCATTAGGCAGTGGAATAATGCAAATTCAAACCTAATGAGATATAATACCTATCAGAATAACTCAACAGGCTGATTGTACACTAAATATTGGAGGAACAGGAACTCTCAAACCTTGTATGCTCCTGTAAGATCATAACCACCTTGGAAAACAGTTTGGTACTTTCTTTAAGTTATGCATACACTCACCCCGGATCTAGTCATTACACACCTAGGTATTTACCAAAGACAAATACAAGGATATGTACATATAAAGACTTCTACCCAAAAATGTTCACAGTGACTTTACTTGTAATAGTATAAAATAGAAAACAGCCCAGATGTCCATCAGTAAGTAAATAAATGAACAGTTTGTGGAGTATCTGTCCAGTGGAATATTACTCAGGAATAAAAAAGGAATAACCTATTGATATATGTAACAATATGAGTAAATCTCAGAATAATTATTCTGAGAGAAAGAAGACCAAAAAAGAACAGAGTACAGCACATACTGTATAATTCTGTTTACCCAAGACTGAAAAGTGCAAATAAGTACATAGTGACAGAGAACAGATCAGTGATTACCTCCAGGGTGGGCTGAGAGGATTGAATTGCAAAGGGACCTGAGGAACATGAGACTCTTGGGGGTTGTGAGTGAATATGTCCATTATCTTGATGGTGGTGATGGTTTTATAGGTGTTTATAAATGTTAAAACTTAATACATTATACACTTTAAATCCAGTATGTGCAGTTTAGTATATGTCAATTTATTCAGTAAAACAGGGTAAGAACACAGAGGCAAATCATGGTTAAATTGCTTGAAAACAAAAGATAAAGAGAACAGTCTTAAAAGCACCTGGAGAAAAAAGAAACATTGAATATTTTAAATATATGTAATTTATTATATGCCATTTACATTTGAATAAAGCTGTTAAAAAGAAAAATAATTTTTTAAAAAATTAAGCCATTTTAGGAATGATTTAGAGGAGATAAACTAAAATATGGAAATGGTTATCTCATGAAGAGGAAAGGTCTTTTGATCAGATAGGCACAGAGATTTCAGAGTTAGGGCTTCTAAAGGTAGGTGATAGATACTGTCTAGGTTCACTTCATTAGTTATTTCTAACAATCTATGTTATATACATTTTTGTATATAAGATGAACTGTACAGGGCCAGGGATTTAGCTCAGTGGTGTTGCCGACTGCCTCTCAAGTGCAAAGTCCTGAGTTCAATCCCTGGTACCAAAAAAAAAAAAAAAAAAAAGATAAACTGTACAACTTTTAAAACTAAAGATAATACTTTTTTAGAAAAGACAGAAAGCCATCTTCCACCTGGATGCTTTCATTCTTAAACTAACAATACAGAAATCTTTTACTGATAAGTAGTAAGTCAGTGTTTCACTGCTTTTTTTAGGAGGCAGCTTGAAGTTTTTCATAAAACATCAGAAGTATATTACCTCTAACAGCACTAAAAAGGTTCATAAGACTCTTTCCATGTTTCTTATCTCTTTCCATGTAAAATCTAAGGTACTTCCTATTATTTTAGAAAATAGTAATGTTTAAGGTCACTTTATAAATGTGAAATTAATAAGAAAAGTGTTATTTGAACCTAGGCAATCTGAAAATTCTGATATACCAGTCTATCGAGACTCTTGAAGAATTCACTTTAAATTTCCCAGGATAGAAGCATAAGTACTATTAGGAAATAAATGGTCTTATTTTTACCATTGTTGCTAATTACTCATAGTTACAAATATGTGACTTTAATTGGATAATACTGTATGCACTGTAAAAATGAAATTTTATCTAAATTATCTCCCATAACAAACCTTGGTATGTATATAAAATAATTTGATGCCTAATATTATAATCTTATTTCATGACTTATGTTTCTGTAAAAGAATCCAACTGGCAATTCTGTTGTAGAGATTACAGGTTGATGTAAAATGCATGGTTCTCTGGTTCAGATTTATAAAAATTAAGATCATAAAATACTATTTTAGTGGAGAACTTTGAGGCTTATACTATTAAATACATTTCATATTTTATCCCATATTCAAAATGTTACTGTTCTCTCCACAGCCTGCACCAGCATGGACTACTTTTAGAGTTGGTCTATTTTGCGGAATATTCATTGTACTAAATATTACCCTTGTGCTTGCAGGTAAGCAGTTTAAATTTTGAATTAATTTATCCTTTCTAATATGCATAAGTCATACTCTGCCCCTCAGTAAAGAATCAAGGATATATCTATCAAAGTTACTAAAAATTTTATCAGGGCTATTTTTTGTTGTTATAAATGTTGTAGAGTGGATTTTTTTATCATTTGTTTTGTCTATTTTTCCCTTGGGTAGTTATTAAAATATTGACTTTTTAAAACATTTTTATTTTATTGGTACATTTTAGGTATACAATGTGACGTTCATCATTGGAAATTTTCACCTTTACATAATCACTCTTGGTTCTTATTTTTTCTCCCTTCCCCTGCCCTCCCTTCAACCCCTCCATCCCTCCCTATCTACAAAGACTTTGTTTCCATTTTCTCATTTCCTCATATTAATTCCATTCCCTTCTTTCCTTTTCCTCTACCCCTCCCACTTCCCCTTCCTCTTTGTCCTTTTTCTTCCTATTTGACATTATCTCTTACACCTTCTAGTCCTTTTTTACACTTTCAGTTTCTCACACTAGAGAAATTATTTGGTATTTACACGTGTCCTATTTATTTCACTTTAGAGTATCACCTCAATGTGCATCCATTTAGCTATAAATATCTCTAATTTATCGTTTTTTATGGCTCAGTAGTACTCCATTTTATAAAAACTCCACATTGTCTTTATCCAATTGATGGGCATTTGGGCTGTTTCCAAGTTTTAGCTATTACAAATTGTGCTGCTATGAACATGGGTGCACATATATCACTGTGGTATGATTCTTTTAATT